ATGATAATACTCTGCAGAAATGTGTTGTGTACGTTTAACAAGTTCATTCTGTAGCTTAAAACATACATGAAACAATCTAAAGTTAACATGTAAGTCCTGAAAGCTTCTAGAATAAACAAAGTTACTTTACCTGAAAACGGTTGTGAACAAACGCTGCTGATGGACGTGAAGCTGCTGTAGCTTCTTAATATTCCTGCTCGATTTTCGCTAGCTTTAGCATTTTTCCTTTGTGTGTAGCTGCCGCCACGGCTGTAACGGTACCTACGGGCCACCGTAGAGGTGGACACTAGACTGTCCGAAATCAGAGCCGCTGGGTTCCGGTTTTAGGACCCGGCCTTGCTCGACCGGCGAGGACCCGTACTCATAAGCATCCTTCCCGTGGATTCGGACACACCCTTAGACCCACTCCCATGTATTTTAGATCCAATTTTTATGGTTATATGTTATGAAACTGCCAATATTTTTCAACACCTGGGTGTATCTTTTAAATCATGTACAACATTTCAATTGATATTTCTAGAGATTAATGGTAAAAACTACACATTGTCACTTTAAGTCCTTCTTTTAGAAAAAGGATGCGTCTTCTGCAACAGTGTATGGTGGACTGGCCCGTTGACTGACGTCTGCTGCAGTGAGTGTGTCACGCTGTTTGTTGTCCAATAGCCTGCAGAGACTGGAAGACAACTGTAGATCCCGCCCCACGACAGAGATCTGTGTATGCCGTGGCCAAACTGTTTATTCACATAAATAGGGTGGCTTGCTAGGCTAGTATAGTAGATGTGTAAATATTGGTTATAGGCCATAAAAGCAGTGTTTATGTTAAATATTGATATTGGTCATATTGTTTTGCTAATGATGAGAAACCATGGCGACCTTTCAGACACTTGAACATGATCAACCAATGGATCCAACTCGGTTTCCCTACAAGCAGTTGGCCGCTAGTTTTAGGGCACATGTGTGAGATGATGGAGTCTCCACAGTCTGGGCGCTGATAAGGATTAGTGTTGGGGTCATTCTAGTCTGAAGGCCGTAAACTCGCCTTTTGTGTAAACTGAACCTCGAATAATCCCTCGTCTCCCCTCTGGTTGCTCACAGAGTATCAAAGACATCATAAATCCTCCACAAGCCCTACATGTATGGACTCTGTCTTGGGAAACTTGAGTTCAGGTCTGTCTGTCTGTCTGTCTGGAAACACCGAGCAGATGTCTGGACACATGTTGTCACAAATTCCATGGTCAGTAATAGAACTAGTGATAATCCACATTTAGGACAACTTCAGAGAAACTGAGACCCACAAGAAGGTTTTGAGGAACCTGTTGGCATGCGATTCCAAGCCACTTCAGCTAAGCAAGGTTAGAGGTTAAGCATCCAGGTCGCCCGAGCTCCGTATCGACCCAGCTGGTTCAGATTGTTTCAGCTTCAGAGTGTTTTTCAACTATATTCCTGTCTGTAAGGAATTAGTCAGCACAACAGGCCGGCAAACGCTTGACCCCAAACCCGGGGACAGCTCTTTTGTATTAAATCCCTACATCTAGCATCAGTCCCACCAAAACGCCAATGGAACGTCCACCAAATACGTGCGTGAGGGGGTGTGGGCACATTTTTCAAGAACTGTGGCTCATGAGACTATATTCGTTCCCGGATTTGTTCGTGATGACGCAATGAGAATGTTTGTGACTCATAAAACTAACTTTGGTCCAGCTGTCTGAACCCTCTCATATGAGCTCATCTGTTTTACACAGACTTAGCTTTTGTACACACACACACACACACACACACACACACACACACACACACACACACACACACACACACACACACACACAGTCTGGGACGTTTTGTCCACTGTAAGAGAAAAAAATAGATCAAAGTGGGCAATGCCCTTACAAACACACCCAATTCTCTGGGATGAGACCCCGAGCGTTCCTCCTGTCCCTTGCTGTGAGGGCGCCCTGGGGACTGAGTGATGGAAACCCAGCAGTGTGGGCGGCACACGTGTCAACGAATCCCACTGCTGTCCTGCCAAACTCTGGTTGGAGAATGACTAACGGACTCCCAGGAGCCCGCAGACAATCCAGAGCAGAAAAAAAGAGTCAAAGAAAAGAAACAGCTCCAAGAGTTGGCCTGAGGCTGGATTCTTAGCGTGAGCACAAAGCCTGGTATAAAGTGCCTTTTAATCTCCTCTGGCATTCCCGCTGCTGTTTTAATATATGCTCAGTTTACATTTGTTAATCCCTCTCTAAGATGAAATCTCAGACTTTTGTTAACTCACCGAAAGTTTGTTTATTTAGGCCCCAGAGGTGTTGTGGAGGTCCTTGATGGGGTTCGAATAGAGACGCCATTGATGAAAAGTGATTTAGTCACTAACAATGAACTGAAAGAGTGTTAAAGGTGACATATTATGCAGATCTCACTTTTTGCATCTTTTAATGCTGCCATGTGGGTCTCTACCACCTCTATAAACAAAAACTCCATTTTCTGTCAGATTTAGTTTCAGGAAGCTTAGACTATACACAACTATCATATACAAGCTGTTTGAAAAGGTCCCTTATTGTGATGTCACAAGGTGCTTTGTTTTTAGGGATTTACATGGACAAGCACCATCATACATTGGTGATCTTCTCAGTCCCTACACTCCCAGCAGGTCCCTGCGGTCCAGTGACCAAAGCCTACTGGTTGTGCAGCGCACCAGGCTGAAGATAAAGATCAAAGGTGCTGTGGCCTCCAGACTCTGGAGTTCTCTCCCCCTGAGCCTGAGATCAGGGGACCAGTGCTGGGGGGGGGGTTGGCACTATAGCTGGATTAGTCATAGCACCCCCAAGTAAATATTAGATTTTTTTTTTTACAATTTAGTTTTAATATAACGCGTGGATGTGATAATATTTAACATACAAAGCAAAATTAATCAGTAAATTATCATATAGATAATAAAAACTTAAACCAAAACAGGAAATTGATGTTAACCTTTGACCTCATTTTCCGCCTGCGAACAAGAGAAAGGTAGAGCTAGTGGTTTTTGTTGCCCAAATTTCCACGGGTTCAGTCAGGAACGAATGAATCTTTGGAAGTGATCTCAGACCCACAAAAACCTACGGATCTGGATGAAGAGAGTCGACCCTCAACCACCGCAGCAGTCAAGGGTTTTGCCACTGGAAATGCTAACACTAACGTTAGCTAACCTTGCAACACTATATATGGTTTTCTGTGTGGCTGTGTGTGTTTATGATTTCATGGAAAAGTCAGCGATCTTTCATATGTTTATGATGTGTATATTAAAGATTGTTTCAGGTGTTGTTGAGGTTTTGTGCACGCATGTGTATTTGCTAGTGCTGAAGGTGTTTTAGAGAACAATATGTACGCATGACCACTTCCTTCACTGCACCCTCAATAAAAAGACTAGCTCCTTCATAGCACCTGCAGAAAAAAAAATTCTGGAGCCGCCACTGCAGAGGACTCAGTGGTCTCCTTTAAAAAGCAACTGAAATCACACCTGTTCAGGCTTTGGAGTGACCTTCATCACCACCCCCTCCTTATTCCGCCTTTCCAAGGGTCCACTGATTTCCCTCTTTCCTATTCATTTTCTCTCTCCCTTTCCTTACATTTTTTATCACAATTTTTATTTTTTCTCATTTTGGCATCATTTTGTGAAAATTTTTTGTACTTTAATTTTTTTGTTTGTTTTTGTAAAGCACCTTTTACAAAAAGGCTCTTGAGAGGCGGTTTCTTTCTTTCTTTCTTTCTTTCTTTCTTTCTTTGTTTCTTTCTTTCTTTCTTTGTTTGTTTCTTTCTTTCTTTCTTTGTTTCTTTCTTTGTTTGTTTGTTTGTTTCTTTCTTTGTTTCTTTCTTTCTTTCTTTCTTTCTTTGTTTCTTTCTTTCTTTGTTTGTTTGTTTCTTTCTTTCTTTCTTTGTTTCTTTGTTTCTTTCTTTCTTTCATTCTTTCTTTCTTTCTTTCTTTCACACAACCAGTCAGCCATTTAGGTGTCTCGCCCAAGGACACGACAGAAACAGACCGAGCTTGAGGCTGCAACCCTCTGGTTGTGGGACGGTACGGGACATTGGCATAGAACCCCTTCTCACCCATCAGTGCTGGAGGAAAAGTAGCTCTACTCTGAGTGCCTCCAAAACAACCAGTCGGGGGTGGGTGGGCATGGCCGGCAATAGCTTATTTTTATTGAAGTGACAGAAACCTGAAATGAGTCATTCTGAAATCGCTTTGTGAGGCTGATTTAGTGCAAAAAACTTTATGAACATGTTTTATAGAAATATAATAACTTAAATACCCCTTTTAGTCCCATTTTTCATATTAAGCTATGCACATGAATTGTGAGTGTCTTACTCCACCCTGAGAGAGCACATTGTCCCTGTTTTTCTCTCCAAACAGTAATCCAGCTGTGTTGTACAATTTATAAACAGACACGTTGCCTCCTGAGTTTAGTGTCACCGACTCAGCAGAGTTGTACACGGAGGTAATTGTGCTATCATCCATTGGCTGACCCCAGGTCAGCCGTGCGGGCTGAAAGGTGAAAGGCTACAAGCTTGTTTTTCTCCCCGTCCGTATCTGCTAGCAGTCCTAGCTTTTCCACATCTATTGTAGCCTCCACCATCTCCTTCTCAGCAGCATGCACACAAAAACGTGAACATAAATTTTCTTCTTCATTTTAACGTCGGAGATGATCTACAGGTAGGAGTACGCGGTCCGAGTGGCCTGATAACAAATCCTTCAACAAAAACACGTAAAAAGAGAAAGAGGCTCTATCCAACCCATTAGACCCCCTCCCCTTATGAATCCACACCAGGAGCATCCCCTTCCCCCTCCCCTCCCTGCTCTTCCTGCAAACTTTTTTTTCATAATAAGAAAGGGGATGCAAAGCAAGAGGCGTGCGGTCTCAAACACAGAGATGACCGATCACCTCGTGGTTTCTTTTATACATGCAATTAGGTTTTATGCATGCAATCAGAGCACTCACCCTGTTCTCGTGTCTCTGTGTTTTATCTTTTAGGTGTGTCTGATGTGACGCCAGCGGGCTGGCTCAGGGAGCACTATTTCAGTACGATGTAGACACAAAACATCAGGCAGCAGAAAAGTCTGAAGAGAAAGCTGAGAGACGGAGAGAGAGCTCCAGGAGGGGGAACGAAAGCTGAGCTGGAACGACGTCAACAGAAGATAAGGAGTGAAAGAATTGTGGAGGAAAGCTGTGAATCATTAACCTTTAGCCTTTTGTTGTTGCTCCTGTGAAGAGTTCACTCTCTCACTGCCGCTGGGAAAGGATCGCAACTTCAGCTCTGTTCTGTACCCACAATCCACCTGAGACACACCGAGCCACCGTCAGCATGTGCCATGTGATTGTCACCTGCCGCTCCATGCTGTGGACCCTGCTGAGTATTGTGGCAGCATTCGGCGAGCTCATCGCCTTCATGAGCACTGACTGGCTGGTGGGATATCCTCGCACACCCGATGCCGTCTTCGGCCCCCATGGGGCCACCGCAGCCGGTGAGGCCTACAGGCCGACTTTAGGCATCTACGGCCGCTGCGTAAAGCTGCCCCACACACATCGGGGGGTACTGTGTGGACCGTACGCCGTTCACTTTGGGGAAATAGCCAGCGGGTTCTGGCAGGCGACTTCAATCTTCCTGGCAGCAGGGATCCTACTGCTGTGTGCCGTGGCGTTCATCTCCGTCTTCACCATGTGCTTCCAAAGCATCATGAAGAAGAGCATCTTCAATGTGTGTGGACTTCTTCAAGGGATTGCAGGTGAGATTAAAGGCTGTGGCAGTGTTAAACAAATATCAATCGGAGCTCATTGTAGAGCTCCAACGTTTTTTTTTATAGAAACAGGTGATTAAAGGTGCAATTTGCAAGATTGACATCCTGTGGTCAAATGTGGGTACTGCAGTTAATTTTTTAAAGAGCAAGTCACCCCTACCAGATTCTTACTCAACTCCCACTTCCTGTTTGAAAAATGCAACAAATGCTGTTGCTTAGTAGACCAAGAGGGTGGAGCCGCTAACAAATACACACACTTACAACATTGTGACATCATAATGTACCATCTAACATCATAGTGTGCCTCTTAGCCAATAGCGATGGCAGATTTAAATTCAAACGCGGTGCAGAGTTTTTACCTGACAACGGTGCATCGCTGACAGTTTTAGGCAGAATATTTAACTGAAATGAACTAAAATGCCGAATTATTGAACACATTTGTCTACAGCACAATCAGACACTCATTTATATAGTTTATCAGCAAAAAAATGTTGATTTGGAGTGACTTGCTCTTTAAGCAAAACAAATCTCTTTCTCACTCCCGTTCGTTCAGTTTCATGGCAGTGTCCAGTTATGGATCAGCACCAGAAGATTCTAGATTAAAAGCACAAACGAGTCATAACAATAAGTTGATAAGAAGACAAATCCATTGACAAATACAGTGTCTGTTGTTAGCAATCTTGGGTGTTTTATGGCAGGGAGTACTTACCACACTGAACCAGTTCAGTGGCCTAGTGGTAGAGTGTTAGACATGGGACCGAGAGATCGGGTTCAAGTCCTGGTCGGGTCGTATCATAAACTTGCGACCCAATGCCTCTTCACTTGCTTCAGAAGCAGGGACCTGAAAAGGCTCTACAGCCTAATAAAAAAAAAGCTGGTTCTGTTCTGGGGACGAGTGTGGAACCGCTGGAGGAGATAATGCAAAGAAGGATTCTCCAGAGAATCAAGAAAATGATGGACAACCCTGAGCATTCTCTTCACAAGACTGTCCGACAAAGGAAGAGTGTCTTCAGTCAGAGGCTTCTTCAGTTTGGCTGCAACACTGAACGCTACTGGAGATCCTTCCTGCCAACAGCCATTTGTAATATACAACAACTCTTTGATGACTTGATTATTATTATTATTCTGAGCTACTACAGCAATCAATTTCCCTCTGGGATTGTTAAAGTATTCTTGAATTGAATTGAATTGAACTGAATTGACACTCAGCATTAATGGGTTGGAATAGGGGGGTTAAACCACCAAATGGTCCCCGAGCACAGCTGTGTCTGCAGCTCACCACTACCTGGCCTAGGGGATGGGTCAAATGCGGAGAACAAATTTTTCTACTAGTGGGACTTTAGCAGTATGTCCTCAGCATTACAGGAATTATGATTGTTTGCCTTCTTGCTGTTAGCTTGATGTTACAGTTCTGAAGAACTCATCAAAGGAGTTCAAACGCAATGATTGACTCACTATTTACTTCACACATACATTTCACCATAATATCCAGTTGTTGGTAGTAAAAAGCAGCTTGAGATATTTTAGAGCAGACTATTTGCTTCTAATTCACAATTAGCATTGTTAGCTCAATGTTAGCCTCTAGCCTGCTTCACCCGAGTAAAACAAAAAGAGTCTGAGGCTTCTTGGGGTTCAACGGTACAATAAATAACTTCTGGGTCACTCCTGTTTACTGGCGTTGGTTCTTTAAACAACTCTGGAGCATTTTGGCTGCTGGTGTCGAATTACAAAGGCCCGTGCTGCTGTGTTAGCTTGCTGCAGATTTGGCAACCGAGTGTAAACAGGAACTACGTCCCGCTTTGGTTTACTTCAAAAGGAGAAGAACTGACGACCCCCCAGCCTGTTGAGAATAAAATCTGTTCCTTCCAACATGACTGAGACATTAGAATGTTTCGAGATTATTTCACAGTAGAAATCTTACAAATTGCACCTTTAAGACTTGGAACAATGAAACAAGCCCTTCATAGACAAACCTATACTGTGATCCTGCAGGACTTGTTTTGCACCCTGACATAAAGTGATCTACCCCCACTGAGTCCAAACCTTATTGTTTCTGCTCATTCCTGTGGCATTCATCAAGGTAAATGAAAAGCTGCCCTCAGCTAAACACTTCATTACGAGCGCCACAACTCCCACTTCTAGAATTATGTGTTTTTATTCCCGCTAAGCTGAGAAGGAGCTCGTACCCAGACAGGCTCAAAACAGACGGTTGCTTTGTTGTTGTCACCCGGAACAACCACCTGAACGTTTACACAGTCAGCTGGACAATCCTTTTAAAAGAGATTAAGTAAGCATGCGTATCAGTGTTTTATGTGTAAAGGGTGTGTGTCCTGTGTCTGTGGTTTGGCTTCTGAGGCCAAAACTCCAGAGAGGAGGCTTTATAAACATCCCTGCTCACAGACTGTTGCTCTCAACCCCCCGGTGATTATATCTATCCTCCCCTGCTGTTGTTTATCTGATTCGGGGCCAAACAGAAAAGGTGGGTGGATGGTGAAGGACAAGCCAAGCTGTAAACTTAGGTTAGCTGTTGAAACTCGTTCAACTGGTGAGTGATGGACGGCTTTTCTAAACGAGCCCCCAAGCAACGAGCTTCGTTTAAAAGTTTATTTCAGATATATGCATGTCACTGTGCGTTATTGTATTTGCTTATGTGACTGTAGCTGTATGAGTTTGGTGTAGAGGTTGTAAGTTATTGTGGAGAAGCTGGGATTGGGTTGCCATTAGGCTCTTTTGTGACTGGTCAGTAAGGAGCTTCAGAGCTACCATGGAAAATGAAAAATGATTGGAAATCAAGACTCTAAAACTTGCTGGAGGAGAATCAGTACAAATTTCTCAAGCGTTCTGCTCTTGCATGGCCCACTTGGAGTTTACACTAAGAGCATTTGTCATTTCAAATTAGATTCACTGGAAATTCAGAAGAACGCCAAAAACAAAACCACTTTAAGACGGATTCCAACGTAGATTCAAGGAACAATTCAGCAATTTTTTAGATTAAATAAAAGCAGATTTTAACATTGACTTTGTCAATGTTTGCACTTGATGGCATGTATTAGCCAACCAGTAACTCTGTTAGTTGGTTGGTTGTTTTATTTTTATACAAATATATATATATATATATATATATATATATATATATAAAATTTTTATCATGGTGTGTTTACTCTTCTACAAAGAAGCCAATAACATTCAAGACCAGGATCAAATTAGATTACCGCTCCATACCTTTCAAACATTTATCAGTTTACCAGGTTGCGTACATTAGAGGCAACCAATATTGTTTTTTCTGTTTTTGATACCGATGGCCGATACGTACTAACTGATTTTCATGGCGGATATCGAGACATTTTCCACCTTATTTTCATGCTAAAATGTCGCTATTAACATCGATTGATGCACAAAAAGCTGAATCAGTTTTTGAACTCTGAATTTAACTGTTAAATCCTAACTTTGTTATGCAGATGTTGTTAGTGAAAGTAAAAATACAATTAAAGTCAGCAACAGCGCCGAGCTGCCCGAGGATGTGCCTGACTTTAAATCGACTTTACTAAGGACAAATATCAGCCGACCGATATATCGATCTACCCCTAGCGGGCATTATTATTTTTCATTATTGTTTATAAATAAACATGTTTATAAGAAGGGATGGCAGCAAACTGCTTGACTGATTCAAAAATCTACAAAGTAAACACAAAGCTTTCTGCCTCTATAGAAAGATTCTGATCTGAATAATGAACATCTGCTCGCTGAAATAAAAACTAGATAACAGCTAAATAAGTGACGTGGTTTATTTTCTATGATGGTTTTGTCACATTTTCCTGACGTTGGAGCTTTAACTTCACCTCCTCCGTGACGAGTTGTTGGAGTGCAAACTGGAACTGCAGCCTGAAACGATCCCTCTCGGTGGATGAGATCACTTGGAAGTAGCGTCGCACCACGTCTGTACTGTTTACTGATTAGTTTGAGTCTGTAAAAAAGCAGCTTAGACCAGTGGAAAGATCCAAGGCTAAACCATGAGTTGGCAGATGTTTTTATTTTATTCCTTTAAGGTAAGTGCTCTTTTGAACAGCTAAAAACCAGCTCGTTGACCTACAACAATTATGGTTTGAAAAGAGCGTTACATCACCCAGGAGGCCCCGTGAACACAGATCTGTTAATGAAAGAGGGAAACGGCTCTGCTGAGGCTCATTGCTGAGGGAGGATAAGGATGTGGCAGTGGAAAGGGGGTCGAGAGGAGCTTCAAACATCTGAGGAGGTGGGAGGGTTTCCTTCACACAGCATTAGCTTTTCCAGTTCATCCATCACATCCAGAGGAAACCAAGCTGCCGCCTGTCGTGTCGCTTCGGATGTTTTGTTTGGTTTGTTCTTCTTCCAGTATCAATTTTAATCAGTCTTAACCTAACTGCCATCTTTCCATGAGACTGGATGATATCACTCAGAGTGAGATTTACCAAAGGGACTACCACACTGACTTTTAACTAATGATTACTTCCAGAACACCCACCAACGCTCCGATAATGAGAAAACTGGAGCCAGACGGCAGATGTTTGGGAAAGTGATTGACCTCAGATGGGAAGATTGCAAGGCCGCTGCCAAAGATAGTCGCGTCATGGTGCTGGGGTGACTCCCGGGCCCGTTAACCTCCTCCCGACAAACCCCAGTGTCACTTGGACCTCTGTGACACGTTTCCTAAGTCGCTGTGCCTTGCATCATGTATAAGTGACCGTTAAAGCTTGACTGCTTTAAAGAGTTCTGTTGAAGTTGAATTTATGTTGCTGAATGGCTAAAGCAGACTTCAGCTGAGGGTCAGAGGGTTAAACTTTGCATCCTGTCGGCGCTCACTGGTGAGACTACATAGGAGTGAGTTTTGTGTTTACAGACATGCAGCAGTCTTTCCGCTTCACTAAGACGGCAAACAAACCCAGCGTAAAACCGTCTTGATTCTTGTGCTTTTGGTTTAGTGTGTCGTCACTGAACGTTCCTTTCAGCCG